AACCAACTGAGCCACCCAGATGCCCTTCCCAGACCCATTCTGTGTATACACAGAGGGAACCAGAAACAATCTCCCCACCACTCTTCCCACCAGTGTCCTTTGAATCCCAAGCCCAGAGAAGCTTCTTGGATCTTAGTCCCCAAATGATAGGTGTTTAAAAGATAGAAACCATAGCTCCCCAAATACTGTTTACTTTGGAATTAAGCTAAATCTCCTTTGAGGTCTTAATTGTTACTGCCTCCATTGTCCAAGCTCAATTCCTCCCAAGACCCAAGAGTTGAAGAATCAATTTTGACAATCCTAGTTTTCAGTATTTCTCCACACAGAACTTTGGAGAAACTGAAGGTCACCTTGAACTTACACAGACTGTCATACTAAAACATTTTTCTCAAGTCAAATTCTAGAGCAAGTTAGGACAATCAGTCGTTCCCTTATTTCTAAGCTTATGTTCTAAGTTTATGTTCTGGCATAACAGGCTCTTAAGAATCTGAAAGAGTTTAGGAAGTAAAATGAAGAAAAGTAAAGCACCTAGAATGGGACTCATGAAAATGGTCAAATCTTGGCCATGTACTCCTGAATTTATTTCAAAGGCTTCATTTAAAAAACAAAACAAAACAAAGCAAAACCCCAGAATGACAGCAGCACCTATCTGAATTCTGGGTGGGACATAAAAGATATATGGAGAAGAAATCTAAAAACAAGTTGAGTAAAGAATCCTTGAAGTGAGGTGTAATGCAACTTCATCACTTTATTCAAATCTTCAAAATAGTCTTTATTCTACATTTTTAGTATAAAAAATCCACAAGTTAAGTGCACCACAGTGTAGAGAGAGACATACAACGCTGAACTTCCATAACAGTCAATGGTACAGTCAAACATCACATGGACAGAACACAAAATTTAGATGAACTGAAATTATAAAATAAAATAAAATCCAATTTCAGAAAACAAAAATCAAAATATTAAGGATCCCTGAAATATTCTTAACCCTAATGAGATTTCACTGGACTCAAGTCATTTTGTAGTGAGGAATTCATAACATGACCCCATTAACCCAGCTGAGGAATTCTCAGGAGCCATGAGGGCTTACATCAGGTACTCTGACAATCAACAGTAACCAATTTTTGGATGGGAAAACTTCCCCTAATTTGGCTCTGACGTCATCAGGCTTTTGAAATGCATCCTCCTCCTTGCCCCCACATTTTAAACAAACCTGTGTATAGTACAGTTTGCATTGATACCCTTTGTTCAAATAGAGCTCTGTTTTTCTGGCACCGAAGCAAATTGGGGTTTGGTTCATGGATGAAGAAACAACCTATGAGGAGGGTCCAAGAGGCACCCTCCACTTTTGCCTGAGGAGATGCAAAAGCAGAAGTAATGGGGCCTGTGCTTGGGGCACAGAGGGGGTTTCAGAGGATCCTTGTGAAAGACCAGTTAAAAGAAGGCAAGTGGGACAAGTGCAAGGAGAGAAGGGAGTTAGTCTGACTGGCTTTCTGTCCTGCACCATTGATTCAATGGAGATTGGCGGGAAGGAACTGGAAGAGACTAGAGGGGAGGGTGGGACATGGGGCAAAGGATGGAAAGGAGGGAAAGGCAGACAACTAATGCGTTTCATTTATAACAAGTAATAGAAATCAAAGACTTAAAGGAGATTAAAGACCAATCAGAATAATTTAGCAACTTTAATTCTTAGGAAGATCAAAGTTCCCTCCAAACCTAATTTGATGTTTTATTAACTAAGAGCAAAGACCAGTATGGTACAGTATTACTCCAGAGGAATTAAAGGAAGATCCTTAGGGCTGCTTTGCCCACATTCATTTTATGAATGGATGCCTCCCCTACCTCAAAATGCTTTAAGGAGGTACTGCTACCATTACATGGATCCTTATTAAGTTTGAAAAGTGCCTGAAAGTTTGGGCACCAGAAAGACACCCCAACAACATGTGTCTAAACTGCAACTTCAGGTTAATAGGACTAAAGCAGTTACATTGTGAGAAGTGCTGAAGGTATGTGATGTCTTTCCCGGCACAGAGGTGGCCTTGGTTCTTCACCAGATGGTGTAGCCACCATCTGAGCCACCCATGAAGAAGTTTCCCTTCCGCTGAGTTACGAGGACATTGGCTCCCTGCATGACTGCAAGCTGAGCAGCGTTGGGAGGGCATCCAGGGGGTGGAGGCTGAAAGGAAAAGACAAGGTTGACTGGGCATAGGGCAGCTGAGACAAGGGAAATGGAAACGAGTGAAACAGGATCCGTTAGGAAGATGGCAATGTGCTGACCAATCGCATCTTAAAGCTAGTCCTGCCACCAACTTGGGTTGTAAAGCAGGTCTGTATTCTCTGTGAACCCAAAGATACAAACAGGAAAGAGCCTACCACTCACCTCAAAGGCGTTCTCACCTCATTTCAGGCATATGGTTTTGAGTGGATGGCCCTAGCAAGGACCATTTGGGCTCTAACTCTTATACATGGGCGAACTAAGCAGGAAACCAAACTACAACCTCTAGCATCTTTCCAAATGCTACTTAATAGGGACAACGCTTTCTCCAGTTTTAATCATCTTGTTTCCCGATGGAATGCCATGCTGATGGCAAATTTGGAGTAAATGCTTATGGAATGAATAAGGAATATTACTAGACCAGTACCAAGCTGGAACTGAAAAGGCAGCAGGCAGGACTCCTAAGATACGAAAACAAAGGAATCTGGTTAACTCAGACCCGAGGGAATGTACCAGATGCTACTGACTTTCCATAGTTCTCCTGCCCCCTCATCTGCTTTCTGCCTGACTACTGGAAATCGGTGTTATACTAATGCCACAGCTATTATCCAGGGACGGTGAAAGGATGAATATGTAATCTCTTCAGAAAGTTAAAATACACAAGAGCTGAGTTTTTCTGGTAAGGTCATACTCACAGGAATGTTGCCAGCGGTAGCCCCAGCTCCAAATCTGGCACCTGCATCATACCCTCCTTCCACCAGCACTGCTGAACCAGGTGGATAGATGGGACCAACTGGATAATAAGCCATAGGGATTGTGGAACCTAAAGGTCCAACAGCCACAGATTGGGCCATGGGAAGGTACAGTGAGGCGCCAGGAAATGCAGCTGACATGGTGGGGACTGTGGCAGCCCCTGGGTGCACAAAGCTCGGACGGTAGAGCTAGAAGAGGGAGAAGAGAAGGGAACGGGTTACTTTAAGACATTCCAATTTTAGATCTCTTTCATGAGTCAATTCTTAATTCTCCTTGTGCAGATTACACTGTGAGTTACACAAACTGCCTTTCCGCTGCCATTCAGTATTCTCCTGGGTCACTTCCTGCTATAGCTAATGTTAGGCTCAAGGAACGCAAACTCATCTTCTTAACCTCAGCCTGTGCCAAAAAACATAAAATAATCAGATAATGCCTTCTCAACCCCAACAGAAACTGCTGAAGTATACAGTGTTTCAGACTATTCATGTGAGCACTCTCTCCTCTTTGTGGAGAATAAATAAATATGTGGAGTCAGGCTTAGCTAAAGACTGAAAATGTGATCCAAGAGTATTCAGTTCAAGTCTAGTAAACTGGAAGCACCTCTGAGTAGGCAGGTGGAGCATCAGTATAGGGTGGAGCCTGAGGAAGATGCAAGGTCTGAGGGTACACTGGATTCCCAGGAGGCTGCACAGGGTAGGTTGGCTGCGTTGGATATTGACCTGGAAAACAAGATGAAAATGCACGTTGCCTACCATACAGAGCCACCAAAATGGGGCAGTACATATTGGGTAGCTAACCTAGTGGCAGCAAGCAGATTTGTAAACAGACTGCTCTGGAGGGCCTGATTTTTGAGGCCAAGAAAATAAGCATTTTCTTTGCACATTTATCCCACCTACACACGAAGATGGTGGATTCTAACTGGCCATAAAAGGCGCTCTTCCCATTAGCATACTGGTGTAAGGGAAAGTCTCGCTGGACCCAAGTTTCTCCATCGATGCAGGGCAGGTCTGGGCACCCGTTCCTGCCAATGTACCAACGGGAGGTACATCCTGCCTCCGCTCTGGGTGGTTTTCACAAGCCTAGTGTAACTGCCCACGACCTCGTTAAGTCACAGTGGTTATGATGATTTGCCCCATAGATTCCTACTCAAGGTCGACTTCCAAATAGAGTGAGTGGTGGAAGTGAACCTTCAGACTCGTCAGACTCGAGAGAAGATAAAGGGAAATGTCCTAAAAAACAGCTGAGGATCGTGTTCTGCCAGACACTAGTACAATCACAGGAACCGGGAGAACTTCGGGCCGCCATCGAAGGAAAGAGGAGAGAGACCCTTCTGCCCCCCGGCCCGCCCATCAGCGCCGGCACCTCACTAGTTAAGCCC